CAACAACACACACACACACACACTACACACAACACACACACTACACAACAACACACACAACAACACACACACACACACACACACACACACACACACACATTCACAAACAAACACACACAAACACACACACACACACACGCACAGCTGCGTGACCCACGTGACGGCAACGTGTACTACCTGAACAAGCGGACCGGCGCAACGCAGGTGGAACGACCACACAACTTCCACGAGGAGCGCGTGGAGATCCGCTCGTTTGAGTACGTCACGCTGGACGACGGCTCCGAGGTGACCACCTACGTCGATGACAACGGGCAGCGCATGTACATGGACTGGGACCGGCAGGAGTGGATGCCGTTCCCGGACGAGTGGTACCCGCAGCAGCCGGAGACGGAGCAGGCCCTTGACGAGACAGACGCGCGCGTGGGCCAATACAACCACCCGACGCGCGGCGTGCTCACCACATATCTGTTTGAGAACGAGCGCAACACGCGGCTGTACTACGACGAGGACATGGGCCAGTGGGCGCGCATGCCGCTGCAGTGGGAGTGCGACATCCCCGAGGTGCGCGCCATGCTGCACGACATCAGCGAGAGCCTCCCGCACTGGACCAACGTCAACGAGCAGCTGCTGGCGCTGCGCGAGTGCAACTACAACCTCCCCGACGCCATTGCCTTTGGCGAAATCAACTTCCCTGCGCAGGGCGGCAAGGGCGGCAACAGCAAGCAGGGCGGGGCGCTGACGCTGGCGGCGGTCGAGCGGATTGCCGAGCTTGAGCGGCAGGTGGCAGAGAAGGACCAGCAGCTGAACAAGCTGCTGGAGGACAAGCAGCATCAAGAGTCGTCGGCGAAGCGCGAGCTCGTCAGGGAGAAGACGCGCGTCGAGGGCGAGATGATGCGCAGGGAACGCTTCGCCGCAGACGCAGAGGTGTGTGTGTGTGGCTTTGTGTGTGTGTGTGTCTGTGTGGTTTTGTGGTTTTGTGTGTGTGTGTCTACTTGTGGTGTGTGTCTACTTGTGTTTGTGAGGGCGCTAGCTTGAGTGCAGTTACCCGTATCTGTGCCCTCAGCGGTGTCACACACAGTCACGTGTGTCCACGCCTTCACGCGCCCCTTCACGCGCCCCATTCCCCAACCCAACCACAACCCCCTTCCCCTCTTCCTTTCCCTCGAGACAGGAGCGCATTGAGAAGCTGATGAACACGAACAACGAGCTGCGGGACAAGGTGCGAGAGCTTGAGTCGCAGCTTGTGACACAGCAGGCAGACGCTGACCGCCTTGCCCAGCTTGAGGACCAGGTTGCCTCCCTCGGCGGCGACGAAACAGGGGTACGCTCTCATCGTGGGGGTGTTGTTGCTGTTGGTGGTGGTAGTGTTGTTGCTGTTGGTGGTGGTGGTGTTGTTGCCGGTGGTGGTGGTGTTGTTGTTGTTGTTGTTGTTGTTGTTGTTGTTGTTGTTGTTGTTGGTGGTGGTGGTCATCTTGTTGGTGTTGTTGAGGTGCGTACTGTGTCGAACACACGCCCTTCGCCCTTCCAACAAACGTAACACAAGACTATTCCCCCCCTCCCTTTTTCCCCCTTAATTCTTAGGCGAAGAAGAAGGCAAAGGAGCTTGCGAACCAGCTTGAGCAGATGCGCATGGAGAATGTTGCGCTGAAGCTGAAGGTGCAGGAGTACAAGGACAAGGCGACGGACGGCGCGGCGCGGGCAGACGTGCTGCGAGACTTGCAGCGGCAGGTGGCCAACCTCAAGCGCGAGCAGCGCCAGACACAGGAGGAGCTGCAAGGCAACATCGACACGCTGGTGCCCATGTTCAGCACGGCCATCACGCATGCGCGCGGGCTGCTCACCAACGTGCACGCGCAGCTGGACGAGGTGACGGCCAAGTATCTCAAGGAGCAGATGCAGCGCAAGCTGCTGTACAACAAGGTGCAGGAGCTGCGCGGCAACATCCGCGTGTTCTGCCGTGTGCGGCGCGATGACCGTGGCGATTGCGTGTTCCGGTTTGCCTCGGACACGGAGATGGAGGTGAAGACGCTGCAAGGCAAGACGGCGCTGGTTGAGTTTGAGCGGTGCTTTGGTCCTTCCTCCACGCAGGAGCAGGTCTTTGCCGACACCAAGCCCATCATCCTCTCCTGCGTGGACGGGTACAATGTCTGCATCATCGCATACGGCCAGACTGGTGCGTGGTGTGCATTGTACTGTGCTGTACTTGTTTGTGTGCGTGTTTTGCGCCGTGTATTTTGTGTGTTGTGCGTGTGTGTGTGTTTTGCACTGTGTGTTTTGTGTGTTGTGTATGCGTGCGTGTGTTTGTGCATGCGTGCGTGTTTGTGTTTTGTCTGTGTTGCGGGTGTGTGCGTCGTGTGCGTTGTGTGTGTGTTGTGTTGTGTGTGTAGACATGGCGGCATGTGTCTGCGTTTGAGCATCGCGTGCGAACATGTCACAACTTGTGTGCTCCGCTCCCCTTGCTTACTTCTGGTTGTGCTCATTCGCCGCGCGCCTCCCCCTCCCCCAAACACACACAACCTGACGCGTGCGCATTGCTGCTTCCCTTTGCGTGACTGCGCAGGCTCTGGCAAGACGTACACAATGATGGGACCGCCCAACAACCCCGGTGTGAACCGTCGCGCCATTCAAGAGCTGTTCACACTCATGGGCGAGCGCAAGGAGACGGAGTACAAGGTGCAGGTGTCCATCATGGAGGTGTACAACGAGAAGATCTTCGATCTGCTTACTGCCGAGCGCAAGAAGGACCTCAAGCTGCACTCGGGCCCCAACGGCACATATGTTGGCGGGCTGGTTGAGATTAACGCGACGTGTGAGGAGGACGTGCTCAAGGCAATTGAGACGGCCGAGCAGCACCGCTCTGTGGGCGCCACGCTCATGAACACAGACTCGTCGCGGTCCCACCTCCTGCTGCAGCTCACGGTCACCGCATACAACACCATCTCAAAGGCCACGACGGTGGGCAAGCTGACGCTGGTTGATCTTGCCGGGTCTGAGCGCGTGTCCAAGACGGAGGCGAGCGGCGAGCGGTTGGTGGAGGCCGCAGCCATCAACAAGTCCCTGTCTGCACTGGGCCAGGTGTTTAAGTCGCTGGCCACCAACTCCCCGCATGTGCCATACCGCAACTCGAAGTTGACGCACGCGCTGCAGGACTCGCTTGGCGGTGACTCGAAGACGGCCGTATTTGTCAACGTCAGCCCCTTGGCGACCAACCTCTCCGAAACACACATGACCATCAAGTTTGGCCAGGGCATCCGCAAGATTGAGCTTGGGCCCGCCACCAAGCACAAGAAACCCGGGCCTCCACGCCCGCGCAAGTAGCGCCCCTTGTTGTTGAGGGTTGTATGTGTGTGTGTGTGTGTGTGTGTGTGTGTGTGTTTGTTTGGTTGCATTCGCGTGTTTGGTTGTTTGTTTGGTTGGTTGTTTGCGCTGTGCGTGAGTGAGTGTGGTTTGTTTGTGTCGTGTGTGCACGTGCGTATGCGCGTGTCGTGCATATGCGTTTGTGCGTGAGTGTACATTGCTGTGGGTGTCCGGGTTGATCTTGGGGACTCTTTGTTTCGTTGTTGACACGTGCACGATTTCCGACCACGCTGCTTTGTGCGTGCGCCTCAATCTGGGTGTTGTGACCAAGCCGTTCGTCGTTCTGCTTCTTGTGTGTTTTTGCGTTTTCTTCGCCTTTTGCTTAGAGTTGTGCATCCGTTGGAACACCTGTTCACCTGTCCATTTGGTTTTCCGCATGTTGTTGTTGTTGTTGTTGTTGTTGTTGTTGTTGTTGTTGTTGTTGTTGTTGTTGTTGTTGTTGTTGTTGTTGTTGTTGTTGTTGTTGTTGTTGTTGTTGTTGTTGTTGTTGTTGTTGTTGTTGTTGTTGTTGTTGTTACATGACCTGATGTGAAGACGACCAATCCGCCCGCCCGTTTCACCACTTTACCCTCCTTTTCTTTCTTCTTCCACCTCCTTTTGACCCCGCCCGCCTGCAACAACGTGGGAGGCAGCATTTACAGCGTGTCTGCGCGTCCTTGTTGGTCTCCGTTCAACTAGTAAACACGTGCTTCTTTGCAAAGCTTGTGAGGTGTGTTTGTGTGGTGCAGTGTCTTGTTTGTTTGTTTGTTTGTTTGTGTGCATGTATTCGTGTGTGGTTTGTGTTTTGTGTGGTTTGTGTTTTTCGCGGCGAGCTGGGTGGCAAAATCACCATTTTACCCACACACGACTGACAGAGGATGACATCAGTGAGCGGAAAAAATAAGTTTTCATCACCGGCACACATTCAAAACCACCCGAAATATGCGTCAATCGCTTCCATTTTCCGTTGGCTGTCCCACGCACAACAGAGAACGAAGACAGCAAACCTCAGAGCGCAAGCACAGAACCATCTTTTCCTGTTACCTCCGGGATTGCCGATTATTCACATTGATGCCAACGACTTTCTGCATCCAAGATGGCGCAGCGCAGATCGGCCACCGCAGCAGGCAGCACTGACGGAACACCGCCGTGTGTCAAGAAGAAAGAAGGCCGATTGTACACCGGGAGCCTTGACAATGAGGAGTACGACGCCTTCAAGAAGTGGCTCAAGAAGCAGCGCAAGGAAAACTCCAGGACGCTGACGGTGGACGCAAAGCTGGACATCGTCGCCGTGCAGGCGTACTTTCGCCATGAGAAGTTTGTCCACGCGAACAAGTCAGGGAGGCCCAAGCAGTATCGGTTCACGGCACTCGCAAAGAACGTCCTTCAGCGCAGCACAGACGTCTGTCAACAAGCATGGAAGGACTACGAGCGCGCGCAAGCGGTGTCAGTCGCGACGGCCACGCGGGAAAGACGACGAAGTTCAAGCGCACTGAGGCATTGCGTGTGAAGCTGCAGACTGGTTGTACGAGCGCACTGTCAAGGGCAACCGAACTGTGGCAAAGGACGTGCTCGGCTTCTTCTGCTCCTCCGGTGTGCTGCCGATGTACTCTGATCCCACTTCGAAAGCGAACGCCCTGAGAGCTGTGCAACGATACCTGGAGTCCCTTGGCTACGAGAGAGGTCAGCGAGGCGGTTGCACCACCTACATGGAGAAGGAGGAGGTGCTGATCAAACGAGACGCGTACATCACCCAGATGATCAAGGCCCGACAGCAGCGGCGACGCATTGTCTACCTCGACGAGAGCTACATACACCACCACTACCGCCGGCATGATGAGTCGCTGTACGACCCCGGTGATAACCGCCTGCTCCCCAAGCAAAAGCACAAAGGCCGGCGCTTCTGTTTCATCGCGGCAATCATCTCAAGCGACCCTGCAGTACCAGAAGCAGAGCGATCCGAGGAACATCGTGCACAGCTGTTACCCGAGACGCTGGACATCTTTGAGGGGGGCAAGAAGCAGAGTGGCAAGGCGCAGACCAAAGACTACCATGGCATGTTTGACAGTGCGTACTTTGAGCGCTGGATGCAGACGCTGCTCGCCACGCTCGACGCCCGTGGCATCAAAAACACCATCATTGTCATGGACAACGCCAAGTACCACAAGTCACTCCCAGCGGACACGCCCAAGCAATCATGGAAGAAGGCAGCCATGGTCGAGGCCTGCACGGCGCGCGGCCTGCCAGTATCCGACACCGACACTCGGGCCTTGCTGTGGGCCAGGCTGCGCGACCACATTGCACAAACAGTCAAGCCCGTCGTCGTGCAAATGGCAGAGGACGCTGGGCACGAGGTGCTGTGGACACCGCCGCATTACTCCGACCTTCAGCCCATCGAGATTGTTTGGGCAAACGTGAAAGGAGACGTTGGTCGACAGTACAACTACGACACAACGTTCAAGGACGTGCGCCAGCGGTTGGACGAGGCGTTTGCAACCCTGACACCGAAGACAGTTGAGGGATGCATTGCAAAAGCAAATGCTCGGCTGGATGAGCTTTACAGGCAGATCACGAGCCTCGATGAGGTGGATGAGGAGGCAATCGATGATGGGGTGTTCGATGACGAGCAGTGTGATGATGATGATGAGAATATGGAAGAGGTCGATGTTGTGAACGAGGACAAAGACAAGGACAGTGACGAGGACAGTGACGAGGACGACGATGAGGGTGAACATGAAGACGAGGATTAGTGTGAGTGGTTTGCCTGTTGTGTGGTTCATTGTGACTTGGTGGGTGGATGTGGGGTGGGGTGCCGTAGTCAATTGTGCTGAGGGAAAGGGGGTTTTTAGCGTGTTCTCTGTGGTCGAGAACGGCGAAATAAATCGTCAAACACGTTAATGTGATTTTCCGCTCACTGATGTCATCCTCTGTGAATACAGTGTTTCCCTACGCGAAATTCTTTTTGCTTCTTTGGTTTCCCCGCCCCCTTTCCTGAATTGGTGGATGCCGACGTTTGGCGCTTTGCTGTCCGCGCTATTTCTGTGTCAAACGCCCACACCGCAAGCCACTCGTGCCACCCTTTCCCGTTGTGGCAGGGGGCTATCTCTGCAACCAACACGCAAGCCAGCTGTGTCTCTTTGTCCGCTGTCTTGCTTGCAGGCTTCGCTGGCGTGGCATGGCGCAGTGAGTTGGCACAACAAACATAGCACAACAACAAAGCAAAGAAAGCACAATACGGACTGCACGCTGCACGTTTGTTTGTCAAATCATCATCACGTTGAGTAGTTCATTTATCTCGACTGCACTTTGAACGACCACTGAACCAGCAAGCCAGCCAGCTCCCCGCTCTTTTCTCCCCCTTTTCCCAAACCACCACCACAAAACAACCAGCCATGGGTGACGAGGATGTTGCTGCTCTCGTTGTTGACAACGGCTCCGGCATGTGCAAGGCCGGCTTCGCCGGTGACGACGCTCCCCGCGCCGTCTTCCCCTCCATTGTTGGCCGTCCCCGCCACCAGGGCGTGATGGTCGGCATGGGCCAGAAGGACTCGTACGTCGGCGACGAGGCCCAGAGCAAGCGTGGTATCCTCACGCTCAAGTACCCCATTGAGCACGGCATTGTGACCAACTGGGACGACATGGAGAAGATCTGGCACCACACCTTCTACAACGAGCTCCGCGTTGCCCCCGAGGAGCACCCCGTCCTCCTCACCGAGGCCCCGCTCAACCCCAAGGCCAACCGTGAGAAGATGACCCAGATCATGTTCGAGACGTTCAACACCCCCGCCATGTACGTCGCCATCCAGGCCGTGCTCTCCCTGTACGCCTCTGGCCGTACCACGGGTATCGTCCTCGACTCTGGCGATGGTGTCACCCACACCGTCCCCATCTACGAGGGTTACGCCCTTCCCCACGCCATCCTGCGTCTCGACCTTGCCGGCCGCGATCTCACCGACTACATGATGAAGATCCTCACCGAGCGCGGCTACTCCTTCACCACCACCGCCGAGCGCGAGATTGTGCGTGACATCAAGGAGAAGCTCTCCTACGTCGCCCTCGACTTTGAGCAGGAGATGGCCACCGCCGCCTCCTCCTCCAGCCTGGAGAAGAGCTACGAGCTCCCCGATGGCCAGGTCATCACCATTGGCAACGAGCGCTTCCGCTGCCCCGAGGCCCTCTTCCAGCCATCCTTCCTCGGCATGGAGGCCACCGGCATCCACGAGCACACCTACAACTCGATCATGAAGTGCGACGTCGACATCCGTAAGGACCTCTACGCCAACACCGTCCTCTCTGGCGGTACCACCATGTTCCCCGGCATTGCCGACCGCATGCAGAAGGAGATCACCGCCCTCGCCCCATCCACCATGAAGATCAAGATCATTGCTCCTCCCGAGCGCAAGTACTCTGTCTGGATTGGCGGCTCCATCCTCGCCTCCCTCTCCACCTTCCAGCAGATGTGGATCTCCAAGGCCGAGTACGACGAGTCTGGCCCCTCGATTGTCCACCGCAAGTGCTTCTAAGCAGGCACGCGGACGAGCTAGCGAACGAGCGAGCGCGAGCACCCAAACATAAATACAAACACTGCTGTTTTGCCGTTGTTTGCCTGCTTGCTTGCTGCTGCTTCTGCTGGCGATAACTTTTGCCTATCGACGTTCCCCTTCTTCTTATCTCTCTTCCCCTGTTTGCATTGCACCCCCCCCCCTTCTTTTTGCTTATCTCTTGCCCTGCTGTACATTTTGCCTACCCATGTATGTGTGCGTGTTGAGCGCATCGCAGCTGCTGCGACTGCGTGAGTAAAACAAGCACCAATCCAACTCGAAAGAAAGTTCATGCGTGGGTGGGTGGGTGGGTGTTGTTTGAGCTGGGGAGTTGAATCGAACGCACGCGTTCCCCCCCCCCCCTTATCTGTTTAGAAGGCGCAACACAAGCGTATGACACAGCATCCAAGGTGACATACACACACACACACACACTCTCTCTCTCTCTGGCACACTGTCTCACTCTCAAGCACATGGCACACTCAATACACACAGACACACAGACACACACAACAGAACAACCAGCACACACGCACAGCACACACAGACACAGACACAGACACACACGCACAGCACACACACACACACACACACACACACACACACACACACACACACACAAACACACTGAACCCAAACACACACACACCAGTGAACTGCCTGCTGTCCGGCTCAATCAAGGTCCGGAGTTTTGTTGGCTTGCTCGTTCAGGGATGTGGAATTCTTTGCAGATTTCTGTAAAGAAGTTCGCTGCCGAAAATAACTGTAAAATAAAACAAATCGCCCACGTCACCACCAAAAAGAAAATCAAGAAATTCTCGAGAGACGGTTGCTGGCTCGGTTGGCACTGTTTCACTTTTCGTCTGCGCTCTCGATCCAGCTGTTCTTGCTCCGTTGCATCTCCGAACCACCGACCACCTACCACCACACCGTCAAAGTGAGTGCGAGCGACCGACCGTACGGATGCACCGTGCTTGTCGTCGTGGTGTTTGCACTGTGTCTGGATTTGGGTTTGTGGATGCTTCGTTGATGGCGTTGTGCTGCGCGTTTGGCTGATGCTGTTTTGTTTGTGATTGTGGTCGCTTGCTGCGATGATGGCTACGTCAGCAAGTGCGCACGCACAGAGCGTTGTTTGTGTTTGTGTTTGTGTTTGTGTTGCATGTGTGTGTGGTGTGTGCGCCTCTTGCGATGCGGTGATTCGCCTGCCGCAGTGTATCTAGCACGGCCAAGCAGCCCCGGTCTCTCCCCCTGTCTGCATTCCTTTTTGGCAACGCAGCATGCACTCACGTTGCTTTTCTTGACAACCTCGCGCTTCTGCTTTTGTTCTTGGCGCGATTTCCGTTATCGTTGCTGCCCAATCGACCTGACTCTGCAACCATCCATCACACAGCATGGTGAGTCGTGCGCGGGATTCTGCGGATCCCCAATGCCTCCTTGCCATGCACCTTCTTTCTGTTTGGCTTTCGTGTTGGTGTTGTTGTGTTTATGTTTCTTGTTTGTCGACACCATGCGTGACATGCTCAGTGATCGCTGGGTCCTGTCTTGCTCTGTATGTGCTCTGAATGCTGGTGTCGTCGTTTATGTTTGCTTTGTTTGACGTTCTGCTTCTGCAACGATTTGCTTCCTTTTGGTTTTGTTCATCATCAATCGTGTTGTGTGTTGCTTTGTATGTTAACGCCCCCTCCTTATCTCGCAACGAACGCACCCCCCCCCCCCAACACACTCATACTGTCCCAGCACGTTGACATCCGTTCTTGCTCTTTCTCACCCGTGTGCATGTGCGTGTGTGTCACTGTCACTTGTATGTTGCTGGTGCTGTAGGCCTCTGGCATTCAAGTGAACCCCCAGGTCGTTGAGACCTTCAACCAGCTGAAGATCAAGCACGACATCTCCTACGCCATCTTCTCCCTCAGCGACGATCTCACCGAGATTGTTGTGCAGGAGGTCTCCGCCAACGGCGACTACGACGAGTTCATCAGCAAGCTCCCCACGGTGCGTGCAGTGGTGGTTGCGTTGGATGGGAGGTTGCTGTTGGCCCTTGCTTGTGTGCGTTGCGTTGCGTTGCGCTGAGAATTTATTCATTTGCAAGTGTACATGTGCACATGCGTGCAGCGACCATTATCAAGTTACACACACACACACACACACACACACACACACCACACACACAACAGCGTACAAGTGTGCTCACGCCTCTCGCCTGTCAATGCTGTTGTCATTTTTGCCTGCCTGCCTACTTGCATTCATGCATGCATGCACACAGGACAAGTGCCGCTACGCCGTCCTCGACTTCAAATACACCCTCAACGATGGTGGCCAGCGCGACAAGATTGTCTTCTTCGCATGGTGCGTTTGTGTGCAAGCTGTAACATTGCGTGTGCCAGTGCTGGCAGCTAGCTGTTCTGACATGCTTATCCCTCTCTGCCAATGAAACATGCGCACATGAACCATGCGCACCGTCACACGTCACACTGACGCTTGACATGCGCGCACACGCCATCACGCTCGCTCTCTTTCTTCGTTCCCAACACTCAATCACGCTCGCTCTCTTTCTCCGTTCCCAACACTCAATCACACACACACACACACACACTTGCACCAACAGGACCCCTGACACGGCGTCCATCAAGGACAAGATGCTGTTTGCGTCGTCCAAGGACGCGCTGAAGAAGCAGCTCAACGGCATCCACACTGAGATCCAGGCCACAGACCTCGACGAGGTTGAGTATGAGGAGGTCTACAACAAGGTCTCCTCTGGCGGCACCAAGTAACCGCGCCACCACGTTCTCTCCCCTCCTGTCTTGGCTGTTTCCCATTTTGCGCTGATTCCATCCCTCGCTCCTCATGTCTTCCCACACCACGTTATCCCTCGCTTCTGCTTTTCTGACGCCTGAATGGGTGCGTGTGGTGCTGTTCAACGTGGAAGCATGGTTCGTGCCTCTCTGTCTCCGTGCCCCTTGTGTTTCTCCCGTCTTTTTTACCCATCAACAACCAAGACGTACGTGCGAATTGCCATCCCCCTATTCAGGTGCAATCTCAATCGTGTCCTCTCTTCTTTCGTGTGCATCAATGAATTTCCCCTGCGCCTGCAAAGGGGATTGATCCTCCAAAAAATAAAATGCCCAAAACAACCGCATTTCAAGTTTGTGTGTGTGTGTATGTTGTTGTTGTTGTTGTTGGTGTTGGAGGGACCCCAATACGACCTCCCCAACTGCCTAGAATGCTTTCATTGCTGTAACCCCAACGAAGAGAGGCGATATGTACAACAGGCAGGCAGCACGCGTAACCCTGGAGCGTGGTGCTCAGGTGCGGTGTGGGCTGCGTGCAAGGCGCTCTTGTTGCTCTGGGGTGCGCGGCGACGTCACAAGCTCGTCCAGCAGCCGGTCCCACTCGTAGATGTTGTCCGGGTTGACGGGGGTGTACCGCCACACACACTCCCGCGCCTGACGCGTGATGGTGGTGGTGGTCGTGGTGGTGGTGGTGGTCGTCGTCGTCGTGAGAAACACGCATAGCCGGCTGCTGTATTGACGATAAGCGAACACGCACACACACACACACCCATACACACACACACACATACACCTACCTTTGCGTTGTATGCGTCGAGGTTGCTGTCGTGGGTGAGGATGGCTTCCCTCAGCTTATCGCGGCCCATGTACCCGTCGTCCCCTTCGTAGTAGTACCCACAATCCTGGCAGCAGTCGTGTGGCGAGGTGATGTTGATGTTGATGGTGATGGTGACGGTGTCAACAGAGATGTAAGAGGGCATGAATTGCAATGCGCTTGCTGTGCAGCACAAAACAACACAAATACGACCAATGTCGGGCACTCAGGGCACGCATCAGCACACACACACACACACACACACACACACACA